CACATACAGTGAACTGTGATCTAACTGGGTACATAAAGCAAGCTGTAACCTACTCTTTACACGTGTACCACAGAGTTCCCAGGCAATCGCAGGCAGCCCACTGTTCAAACCATGTTCATAAGGCCCAGGCCAAGCTGGCACTAACTGGGATATTTCTGTACCTTGCTTCTATTTTTTGTACATCACTTTCCTTTTTCTGCCCAGAAATCCTCTCTGACCACGTGGCAGAGCCTGGGTCTCTCTGAACTTCTTCTGGTTGAAGGTTGCCCAGTTCTCAAATCATTCTTTGCTTGATTAAGCTCTGTTAAACTTAATTTGTCTAAAGTTTTTCTTTTAACACAGAGACCAATCATATCTAACAGTAACTATTCTCTTTCTCCATTTTGCTATTGAATGCTTAATTCAGAAATCAGGTTTTATGGTTGCAGGAAGTCTTCTTATATTCTAAATGCTCTAACTGCATCTTCTTCAGATTTTTCCCTCTCTCTCTTTTTTTTTTTTTTGAAAGGTTGCACAAAACTATTGTATTTACAAAAATGGCACAAAAGTGAATCCAACAGGCCATGCACATGCACACTTCATTCACATCTTTAACAACAGAACGTGCCGAATAAGGACACTGGCTTGACCTAGAGCAGCCAGGCACTGGAGTCACATAAGTTACACAGAATGGGCCAGTGCTGCCCAGGGAAACTCTACTTCTAAAGCTGAAACAGGTGTAAGTCCATGCAAGGTTCAAGCACAGAGTTTTATAAATCTTACAGAGCCCCAGCTATTAGTAGTTGAAATATGTGACCTTCTTCCAACGTGTGGTCTTAAACTTCTGTTTCACAAAGTAGAAAAAGACAACCCAGAAGAAACTGATATAATAGAAGTTGCATTACATGAGAGTAGCATGCAAAGCTATGATGAAGATGAAGTGATGAAAACCCAACATTACAGCTGTAAGACTTGCTTGTTTGCTGCTTGGTGGAACCAGCCCTCTGCTAGGAGTTAGGAAACACACACGGTTATGTTCAGGTGGGTTACTGATGTTTTCTGAGGTCCTTCCCATCCAGGCACTGTTAACTACACGCGTAATAGTGCACACACAACTGCCGCCTGCCAAGCTGTCAGCCCCAAGTGACTTAGTGAAGGGAAGGGAAAAAAGAGGAGAAGTAATGCATTGAGGAGAAATAACAGGAATCGGAAGATTCATGCCGTTCAGCTGTGTTAATCAACCAGCCCGCTTGCTAGCAACAGGGGATGGTTTCCATTGAGGGAGGCCCTGTGGAGGGAAAACGTGGTCGCCAGTGACCTCCCTGTGTGTTTAATGCAGTTTCTTCTTCCTTACACACAGGTGGATGGAGTGGAACCCTGGCTTCCCACTGAGTATTGATGCCAAATGCCACAGGGATTTACCCCGCGACATCCAGTTTGATAGTGAGAAAGGAGTGGACTTTATTCTGAACTACTCCAAAGCGTAAGTTGACAAGAACTAAAGGCCCACCGGGCACCCCAAGTGCCAGGGCTGGGAGTGGGACTCTCCCTCCTTTCCTAGTGCAAGCCCCCAGCCCAGCCAAGTAGGGTTTCCCAAGCATGTTTGAGTGTCTTAGCCATAGAGTGGATCCTCAGTGCACAACCACAGGGTAGCCTGTGTCTGACAAGGTCACAACTTGGAGGACTCAGACACCAGACAGAACTGTGTTCTTAGCCCAAAGCAGGGGTCTTTGGTTGGAATGCCCCACTTCCAGCACATCTCATCCCCTATATGGACATTGTGAGGATAGCAGCTTCCAGGCTGCCACTGAGAGGGCAGGATCTGCAGTAACAATGGCCAGATGCCAGCAGTGGTCCCAGGAAATGCATCGCTTGTTCCTCCATCACAGCAACCCAGGAGGCAGGTGCAGCTACGGTCCCCACTTTGCAGTTGAGAAGCCTGAGGAACCAAGAGGCCAACCACCTCATGCAAGGCTAATAAATAGCAGAAGGATTGCATCGTGCTCCTTTGTTTGCATTGGAATTACTGCAGAGTCTTTTTAAAGCTTGCCCAGTTGGTGACTTCATAACTGCTTGTTACAAATATGGTCCCAGGGCTACCCCAGGGCTCACAGAGGGTCTTTGGATCTGTACATTGACACTTCAAGGAATTCCTTTAATCACGCAAGCCTGAAAAACCCTGAATCCACGATTTTAAGACCTGCCTGAACCTAAGAATGCCCGGAGGACACGAGCACCTCTCTGTGCCCATCGACCCCACACCATGGCACATGTCTCCTGGGTCCCAGGGTGGGACCCAAGCCTGGGGTCTGCAGTTCCACAGGCGGGCAGGGCTGAGAACCACCAACCCAGGCAGTCTGCTTGGTCTGGGGGATTTCTAGGTACAATCATCTATTTTAAGCTTCACAGCTGTCCTGGGAGGTGAATACTATTAGTGACCATTTCTAGGTGAGGAAGCTGAGGCTACAGTGAGTCAAGGTCAAGGAATCTGCCTTAAGTCATTGAGCCAGAAATTGGCAAAACCAGGATATGAATCCAGGTCTGTTTGGATCCAAAGCTGGGGCACGTTTCCCCGGCTATAACTGGGATCAACTAGAAAAAAGAATTAAAACAAACATCTGGATTAGTAATATCTGGCTCCCTAGAAACAATCGTGGCAAATACTGTCTCACTTTCTGTCCCCCCTCCCCACAGTTCCCACCCTGATATTGGAGATGCTAAGCAAAGCTGTGTGGCTTTCGTAGGACAGACCTGAGACTAGGGTGGGCAAGCAGGATGGAGGCCCTTGTGAAAGGAGCAGTTTGGAGAGGGAAGAAGGAGGATGGAGAGGCAATGAGGTCAGAGGAGGCCTGCTGCTCTGGGGAAAAGTGCTCCCTGTGCTCATTATGGTGAGGGAAGGAGGGATGGGGAGAGGGAGGGCTGGAGAATGGATGGATGAAGGGAGAGAGGGAAGGAGGGAGGGAGAGATAAGTGGTTAAGGGAGGTAGGAATGGTGAGCGGAGGCATGAAGGGATGGATGGAGGAGAGAAAGCAGAGAAACAGCTCAGAAGGACCTGCCTGGAGAGGAGAGGCCCCTGGGAGCGGCCCTGGTCCGGTGATGAACCTCGGCAACTTGTCTAACTTCCCTGAGCCTCAGTGTCGTTATCTGAAACATGAGAGCACAGCTCCTATTCAGGATGTTGTGAGATTAAAATGGGACCGTACATTTCAGCCCTGGTGACACAAAGGGAGTTCTCCCTAAAGACAGCATCAGTCTTCTCCACTCTTGGCAATGAGGTCAGGCTGGCCAGGACCATTTCTTCCTCATACGCACCTGCTGTGTGGCTCCCCTCTTTGAAGTGAAGGGCCCTAGCCCTTAGGAGCTCACTGGGGACCCTCATTCCACCTGGGCATCCTCTCTTACTCATGGGGTCCAGGAAGTCTTCAAAGCCAAGGGCCACCTGGCCGGGTCTTCTCGGGCAAGGCATGCAGAGCTGGGCGCCTCGCAGGTGGGATGGTGCACTGGGGAGAGCACTCTCTGCCCAGGAGCGGTAGGGGACCAGCTGGCAGAACCAAGCAGGTTGTAAATTTGTTGGTGGCATCAAGCAAGGAGTGACTGATGTGCTCACTGCCCACTGGCTGTTAGCAGCCTGGAAGGCATTTGCAAGGATGGCGAGGCTGGTGAGAGATTGCTCTCTTTAAAATAAATTGAGAAAGAGCGTTTCCTTCCGGTCAAGCAGGACAGTGCAGCAGTGTGACCAGTCTGATCTTGACACCCACTGAGTGATTCCCAGTGATGAGACCAGGAGGGTAGCGGCTCCTGGAAGGAACTCCCCAGGGAGCACAGGGAAGGCAGCAGCAGAAATTCCACTCCATGCCGCTGTGGGTAGAGTTGACTCTGTAAGTCTAAGTTTCCCACAGCCAGTGAAAAATGGGGAGAGGTGAGAATAATTGTAAGGCTCAGGCTCCATGTGGCAGCCTTTGTGAGCAGGGGAGCACCCAGGGTGGGAGGAGGCCACAAGGTGTTGGGGAGAGCAGGAAAGACAGCAGGGTGAGTGGTGGGCAGGCTCGGGGGCCAGTGGGGTTTCGTGTCACTGAAGGGAAAGGCTAAGGGGAGAACTCAAGGCATTGGGCTTGTGGGGGAAATGGGGTGGTCATCAAAGAGAAAAGCTAAGCGGAAGAAGTTTGGAGGAAGGATGAGTCCAGGTTTGGGCATGCTGAGGGTGAGAGCCCAGCCTCTGGCATCGAGGCCCAGCCATCACTGGGATATGCGGGCTCCAGGCTGAGCATAGAGGGACAGGGGAAAAGTGATGAAGGAATGAGAGGAGGGAAGATGACAGGACCACTCACTAGCTTTGGAAAGCTAGCGAAAGTGAATTCTGTGTGTAGGAAGAAGATTCATCCCTCTTATTGTCACCCCACCCAGCCCCATGTCACCAGATCACTCATAGGAAACAGGGTTGGACAAACGTGATCCATCCAAAAAAAGAAAATAGGGATCTCCCACTTAACCTCCCAAATGCTATCCAAAAAACCCTTGAATTTCTTGGAATTTTAAAAAATAATCCCCTCCTTCTAACTGATGCCTACAAAACAACATTTCTGCATATCAGTCCCATTGACCTCCATCGAATTTTGTTTGAAATCAGGGATGCATCCTTTTGGAAAATAAACGTGTTGGGAAAACTTGGGGGCAAACATCCCACCTAAAAGACAGGCTGAAAGTCTCCATTGTACTTGCTAAGGTAGCATTTTGTTGTCATTAAAAACGGGTCATAAAATAAGAGAAGAGTTAATACAAAGCAGAAAGTTGCATTTCCGTCAAAACGTACTCTGTAGTCAAATCCATTTGGAAAGCACTGCAAACTCTTCAGCAAGGGTTCTCAAACCGTAGCTTGCATCAGAATCCTGCCCCCCCCCACCCCCAGGTGTGGGGTTTGTTATAATCTGGATGGCTGGACCCACCCCAGAGATTCTGATCCAGGGGGTCCAGGGCGAGGCCTGGGAATCTGAATTCCTAACAAAGTCTCATGTGACACTGATGCTACTGCAGGGCTGGGGACCTCCACCGAGACCCGTACTCTACAGGATTTCAAGGGTTTGACAAATCCTGGCATAAAGAACTCTGCTTAATGTCCTCCTTGTGCTTTCCAAATTCTTTAGACTGGCTTGCCCTTTGTGGGCCAGAAGACCCTGCCCCGCTGGGGTTCCTGCCAGGCCCGGGGGACTTTTCTGGGTGCCAAGTCTCATGTGTCTTTTCTCTTTCCTGAGCCCTCCTTAAGCCTGCCCTGGAGCTAGAGCAGTGGTTCTGAACCTGTAGCAACCCACAGGAACCGTATTAAAGGGCCATGGCATCAGGAAGGTCGAGAACCACTGAACTAGAGAAAGAAAATGCTGATTCCTGCCATGAACAAACTGGGAAGAGGAAGGTGCAGTTTTGACTTAGCGGGGCTGTTTTTGTGAGGCTTGTTCTTGGGCAGCTGGGCTCTTCTAGACTCAGGTGGTTGCACCAAGTCAGCCAGCAGCCAGGCTCCCAGGCAGAGGACGTAGGCAGAGGACGTGGGCAGAGACCGTGGTGCTCTAGCACTCACGTGCCCACAGGTAACTGTGCAACGTTATTGAACAGGTTCTGAACAATGGATCTGAGCCAGGATAAGTCTGTGTCCCCAACAAGCCAGGATTGCTGGTCCATGGACCTCACAATGTTATACTCTGCTTTCCTGGGGCTGGGGTGGGGGTAGGGGGTGGAGGGATCTATTGATCTATTAAAATTACAGCAACAATTGCCAACTTATCTCTCCTTACTCTTTAAAAACCAAGGCAGGCGTGGTGGTTCATGGCTTTATCCCAGCACTTTGGGAGGCTGAGGCGGGTGGATTGCCTGAGCTCAGGGGTTCGAGACCAGCCTGAATAAGAGCGAGATCCTGCTCCTACTAAAAAAATAGAAAAACTAACCAAGCGTTGTGGTGGATGCCTATAGTCAGAGAAACTTGGGAGGCTGAGGCAAAAGGATCTCTTGAACTCAAGAGTTTGAAGTTGCTGTAAGCTATTACATCATGGCACTTTACCCAGAGTGACAGAGACAGACTTTGTCTGTAAACAAAACAAAACAAAAGGTTACCTTCTTTAGAGCCGAGCCAGCTGGGGGCTGGGGTCCAAATGAAGACTCCAGGTATACTATTTGGGGAGAGTTATTTAACTTTTCCAACTTCCAGTTTTCTTCTCATAAAATGAGGCTGATGATGCCTACCTTATAGAATTGCTGTGAGATTCAAAGGCAGGCAGTGCCCCTGTGATGTCTGACATGAGGTGGGTGAGTCCCCACTAGTGTCTGGATCCTGGGTACCTGACAGGACCTTCTCTTCATTCGAAAAACGGAGCCCTCGACCTGGGGCACTGCCTTCTCAGGCATGGTCAGGGCCTGTTTGCTGGCCACTCTGGGCTTCTGGCACATTCACGGAGGAGGCTACCTGCTGCCTCTCCTTTGACAAATGCTCATTGAGTTGTTGAGGTGTGAGGGACAGAGATGAATCAAAAGTAGCCCCTCAGTCCCAGCTCCAAGAAGCTCCATGGGGACCAAGCCGAGGACAGCTGAGCTCATCATGACAGCACATGGTAGATACCCTGAGAAAGGAGCGCTGGGGAAACTTCAAGCAGGAAGGGAGTACTCAGGGGGGAAGAGCATGAGGAAAAGCCTTACAGGAGAGAAGACGACCAAGCGAGTTCTTGACGGATGCAGAGGAGCTCACCATGCTGAATGGAGGCGTGAAGGGGATGGCGTTCTAGGCAGTGTGGCAACGAGAATCCCAGTGGTCTGGGGCACCAGTGTTGGGACCTGTATAGGGAAGTGGGGCTGCACCCGCAGAGGGAGGGAGGTGGGCAAGGAGTCCAGTCTGTACCTGGAGGCTTGGGCCATGGGGTGTTGGAGCAGGGGCGAGATCCAGAAGGCTTTGCACTGAGAGAACGTCCAGAAAGGACAGGCCAATCGTCACATGCTTCAGAGAGATCAGGGGAGTTCAGGGCTGACCAATGCCTTTCAGATGCCGCCACTCAGATGTCTCTCTGGAGTTGAGGGTGAGGGTGCAGAGAGGAAAGGAAGAGAAGTCAGCAGGCAGAGAGGCTTTCACAAGTTGGGTATGAAGGGAGGAAAGGGGAGCCGGAGGAAGGGAGGGAGCACATGGTGCAGACTGGGTATGAATTTACCTCGGGCCACTATAGCACTGGCCTAGTGTGGACCTTACTGCTAGTGGGGGACTGAGTTTATCCCGGGGCAAAGTGACATTGCCATAGCATGAGGCATGGGGGCTGCAATAATTACAGTAAAAGTTGCTAACGTGTTTCACACTTTTTGCGGACCAATGTTTTATATACTCGTACATCAAGTCAGTCCCGTGAGGCAGGAGCCATCATTTCACAGATGAGGTCACCAAGAAATAGTGAGGTTAAGGGACTTGCCTAAGGTGACGGGGCTGGGTTTTTAGACCAGGTGCCTGATGCTCCACGCTGACCTGCACCCATCCCTGCTTTCCTTTGCTAGGCCTGGGGGGACTCCCAGCCCCACCCAGGAATCTTGTGTCCAGACCCCAGCATGTGGGTGGAGGCCGAGGGTCTCTGAGAGTCTCTAGTCCAGCCCTCTCATGAGGAAGCAGGACCCACCTGTACCCATCAGCCCACACTGCACTGACTCTCCTAGAAGGAGAACCCACAGACCCAGGGCCGGGCAGTGGCCCCCATGCCTCATGCTATAGCAATGCCACTTTGCCCCAGGTTAAACTCAGTCCCCCACTGGCAGAAAACTGAAACTTGCATCTGAGGTCACCAAAGAGGCCTTCCCCATTGAACTTCCAGCTCTGGACAGCTTGGTTTCTGCACCCTTTCTGGGTAACTGGCCACTTGTTTCCTCTGGGCCACCTGCTGGGCCTGGAGGGAGGCCAGCCCTCCTTAGTATGCTTTGCCCCCACCCCACACAGCGAAACTGAAATGGAAAATGGAGACGCTGTCAGCGAAGAAGCAGGCAGGGAGGCAGAATGCCCAGTCCAGGCCACAGCTCAGTGCAGGAGGAGCCATGGAGTCAGGCCATCAGGGTCCCTGCCTGGCCATGTCGTTACCTACCTGTGTGGCCTTAGATGAGCCAGGTGCCCTCTCTGGGCTGCAGATTCCTTCTTTGTGCAAGGGCAGATCTTGGAATCCTTGAATGTTCCAGTTGTCTGTAAGTATGTAGGTATATGTTGCCTCTGGAGGACATGGTATGAGGACATGGGGAGGACAAATATGTCCCCTCGCAGCTCACTTCTTCCTGGATCTGTGGCTTCCACAGAACTGCCACACCCAGCCTGTTTTGGGTGCCAACCTTCTGTTCTGAGGTCAAAGAGATGCAGCTGGGGAGATGGTGACTCATTCCCACTTCTCAAGATCTGGGGGGAACATCCAGATGGAGCCACAGGGGCACCAGGCACAGGGCCTCTTTCTTGGACACATGGTTCTGGACAATCCTTGGGCTCTGTGGGGATCTCAGGGCCTGGGAAGGCTGCTCCTATCCCAGAAATAAGTCCTTTTCCCCACCTGGACTGAGACAGGATGCCACGATGAGGGTTACTCCTCTAGTTTGCAAAGATTTCTGTTCCAAGCTCTCTGCTAAGGAGGAGTGCAGGGAGGAAGAAGGCAGGGAGGTTGAGAGAAGCTGAACTGGGGCATTCCAGGGTGCAGCCACTCAACAGAGCGGTAGTGCTGAGCACCTACTGTGTGCAGCCATCAGGAAGCTGCCACACTGCCCCAGCTATGCTCCAGCACTTCCAGCAACCCATCCCGTGACTCACTGGCAGCCACTTGTGGGTCCCTAACTCAGCATAGGAGGAAAACTCAGCATTCACAAAGATCTCCTCAGAGCCCCGTCCCGGGCATCATAACCTCCTAGGGGGACCTAGTGGGACCAGGGCTGCCAAATCAAAATACTGTAGACTGAGGAGGGTGGGGACTTAAACAACAGACACATTGGGGATTAGAGCTTCAGCATGTGGATTGGGGGCAGGCAGACAATTCAGCCATAGCAGAGAAAAAAGAGGAGCACCAAGCTTAGGCAGAGAGAACTGCGGGACAGAGGCCTGAACCCTGAGGGTCAGCCAGAGTCAGGGCTGGGGGAGCAGGCGCTGAGCACTGTCGGTGAAGAGGAACAGGAAAACCTGTCACTGTCATTACTCTCAACCCCATGTACAGAGAGAGAAACTGAGGCAGAGCTGTCTCAGAGAGCAAGTCTCAGCAAAGGCCAGCTGGACTTCCCAAGCCTCTGTCCTGCAGTCTATGTAGGCCACATAGTGAGCCTGGGAAGCCCCTTCCCTCTTCTTTCTCGGACTCCTTCTCCAGGAAGCTCCTGGGAGTGTCTCGGGCCACTCAGATCTCACTCCTCGGGTGCCTGCAGCCTGTGTTTTGAATTTAGCAAGCTCCTGCCTTGGGCTTCCATTTTGCTGTCTTGTGTAACAAGCATTGGGAAGCTTGTCCTTGACACCCAACACAGAGCCAGGGTCAGCAGAACCTAAATGAGAGTTTATCTCAACTGAACAGCTCATCCTCCCCACAGTCCAGGTGATGGTAGAGCAGTTGCACAGGCGAGGTGGTGCTCTGTCCCTCTGCTCAGGAATTGGCCCACAGAGTAGGGCAGCAAACACCCAGTGAGGGAACACACACCTGGATGACAGTCAAGGCCCTGACCTGGTCTCTTCCATAGGCAGGTGCAGTGGGAGGGGCCATGGGAATAGGTACCGGTTCCCGTTCTGCTCCACAAAGCCAATTATCTACCCCCTTGGAGCTGCATGGGGGTGTTGTGAGACCCCCGTGAGCTGGGTGTAGGGCCCTAACGAGGAGGGAGGCTGGCACTCATGCAGCGGCCTGTGTCGTGGTCTGCAGGATGGAGAACCTGTTCATCAACCGCTTCATGCACATGTTTCAGTCGTCCTGGAGTGACTTTGCTGACTTCGAGAAAATCTTCGTCAAGATCAGCAACACCATCTCTGGTGAGTGTGCCTCTGGGGGCTCTTGGGGAGCTACAGAGAGGAGATGCCGCCTTCCTGCTTGAGACTTGCTGGGAAATTGGCAAGGGCTGCCCCATCCCACTGCAGCACAGGACCACACCACCCAGGCCTCACTGCTCTGTCACCTGGTTTGCCTCACTGTGGCCACCCTCATGCCCATGTCCTCCTTGGACATTCTTGAGTACCTTCAACCTTATTTCATCATCAAAAGTCTTAAAAATATCAGAACTTTGTCTTGACATAAAACAGTCATTTGCAGTGCTTCTGGGCAGAGTAAAAGCACAACTTAGGTTGGCTTTTAAGCATTTACATCAAAGCCACCTTGGTCTCTTTGGACTAGGATGTGTTAGGTTAGATCCCTAGCATCATAATGGCCAGCTGTGGCATACGGAGGACATTAAAAGAGGCAGGAATAGGGGAGCTGGCCTTGGCAACTGCCCCTGCTCCCCTCCACCCTCCATCCTGGGCCCCTCCACACTGGGCTGAAGGACCTGAGTTCTTGAGACAGGGGCTGACCAGCAGCCTTCTGAGCCAGCTCAGGGAGGAGGAAGGGGCACCATGGCCTGACACAGTGATGGGCACAGGCAGCAGCAGAGCAGGGCGAGTGAGCCAGCCAGCCAGCAAGCACCTGGGGAGGGGACATAGCAGAGACTCTGCTCTCAGGCAGGGTCAGGGGGCCATGGCCTAGGCTGCTGTGTGGTCGAAGCTCAGGTTGGGCCCCACTCCTCTTCCCATAGAACGGGTCATGAAACGCTGGCAGGAAGACGTCATGTTTGGCTACCAATTCCTGAACGGCTGCAACCCTGTGTTAATCCGACGCTGCACACAGCTGCCTGAGAAGCTCCCAGTGACCACAGAGATGGTGGAGTGCAGCCTGGAGCGGCAGCTCAGCTTGGAGGAGGAGGTCCAGGTAAGGGCTTGGTCGGCTGGGAAGTGGCTGAGGTGTCAGGTGGAAGCTATTTCCTGCCAGCCAGTGCTCTCAGGAGCCCAGGACACTAACTCCAGGCCTATCTGGCTGGCTGATGGCATAAGACTGGCCGCCTCCTCAGAGTGGCCACTTCCCAGCCTTGGCAGCACCCTGGCCATTATGCAAACTATCTTATGTAACGTCAGAGGAAGAATTGAGGGGTCTATTTCTCCACCATGCTGTATCTGGGAACATAATATCCATATTTTCAATATCAATAATTACATAGAACACCCCTGGCCCTGGGTCTGCAGTGGGCCAGGCACTGTGACAGATGCTTTCCACACCTTGTCATCAAATTGCCTTGCAAGGTGAGAAAACCCGAGAAAGAAGCAGGCCTTATATTTAATATATAAGAACAAAAAAGGAAACGGGGGGAGAAACCTGACAGAATTTTTGACTAATCAGAAATGTGAATGGCACTTTTCCTGTCTCACCCTCTCCCCAGCCCGTCTCCGCACCCTCACCTCCAGACTCAGTACCCCCAGTCGCAAGATTGACCTTGTCCTGAGACAGGAATTCAAACCAAGTCCACCTAGATCTTGTGGACCTTGGTGATAGGCATTGGCCCTCAGTTTCCCATCAGTCTGTGCCTCCCCACTAAAGCCAGCACAGCTGTATCTCCCCTCACCTGCGCCAGGTGTCCAGGCCTCTGTTGCTTCTGGTCACCCTGCCTGGCATACCACCATTCTTGGAGGCCCCAGCCAGAGAGGGATGGCTGGTGCCATCTGGGGGTTAACCTTCCAGTACCAGTATGCTACCCACCTGACACTGGGAACTCACAAGCCCAGGCTGAATTCCCCAGGCAAGTCTCCTGTCCCCACTCCGGACCTGACCAGCCCCAGAACACTGCCTGGGCATGTGGACAACAGGCATGAACAACAATGACACACCTACAGCATGCTCCTCTGTGGGCTTAATTGCTAGGTATGGTAACACTGATGTCGTGGCTATAGATTTCAACCATCAAATCAGAAAATGATAGAACCTTAAAAGCCATAGAATCCTAGAATTGGAAGGGACCGAGCAACCATCAGTGCACCCAGCCATCCAAAGAGATGCCTCTCCCCAGCACTAGGGCAGGGTGACAGCCTCCCACCAGGGGATCCCTGCCACCTCCAGGGCAGGTGAGCTATGGTTCAACTTTCCTCTGAGCTGATCTACCATTCCCTCCTACACACAGGGCAAAGGGCCCCATCTCTCCACACACCAGTGTAATAATTCATTTTTTTTTTTTTTTTTTTACTGAGTGACAGAGTCTCACTATGTCGCCCTCAGTAGAGTGCTGTGGCATCACAGCTCACAGCAACCTCAAACTCTTGGGCTTAAGTGATTCTCTTGCCTCAGCCTCCCAAG